AATGAATCAGGTAATGTAAAAGAGATTATTTGGGTTTTAGTGTAAAATTTGTTTTTATGTCGAATGTACATTTAAGTATAAGATAGTTCTGAAAATGTTGTTTCCAGTCATAAAAGTGGGAGGTATATTTCCTTTTACATCATGGATTTACCTTAACCCCTTGCCAATGTGACTTTTTATACATGCATGATTGGACTCCTAAGCCCATTCTAAGTTTTGCGCTTTAAGCTGTCGTTTGGCTGTTTAGCCATTACTGTACTGATTGCATAGCTACAGTGTCTCAACAGTAGGCTTAAAATCACTTCTTAACCTCATTGGCAACTGGTCTGTGCTATAGCAAAAGTCATAGAGGTAGGGAATTTTTTTTTCCCATGCTTGTTATTTTTCCCCTTGAGTTCCTGTCTGTGTGAAGTCCTAGAGTCCATTATTGACCATGACACACATATTGACACTGGGTTATTAATTGCATTGTTTGTGATATAATATCTAATTATTGTTTTTTTATATCATAGTGGCCTTCTATTAGTAGGAGTATGCATATGTTTTTTAAAACGGTATATAACTATTTGCAATTGCAGATCCAACTGTCCGTGATAATTCAGCAATGGCTCTTGGTGTAATGCTGAAAGTTGTTGGTGAGAAGCAGTTGATGGTATTCATTGGAGAAGTGGATAACCTTAAGATGCAGAAGGTAAGGCATAGATATACTGAAATCAAAAGCATGGATGTACTAAAATAAGAATCATATACAGAATAATCCTGTCATGACTTCATCCAATCCTAACTCCAAAATTTTGTCCTGTTGCAGATTAAAGAAGCAGCTGACAAGGCCGAGCTGAAGGTCAAAATCTCGGCCCCCAAGGCAAAGAAACCAGCACCAAAGAAAGAGGCACCTCCACCGGCAGCTGAGCCTCCCCCTTCAACGACAGCTCCCCCGAGGAAAGTGGTGAAAGCTGGCGTCAAACCCGGAGCCTCGTCAGCAGGGCCGGCCAAAGGAAAAAAGCGTAAGGAGACAACAAATCGCTCTGTAGGCTCTCTTGGATTGCACAAACCTAAATCAAATATATTGTACTTTAAGATTTCTTATTGATTAGTTTCTGAGGGTAATTACAAACAGATTTTGCTCAGCCAGCTGTATTAACAGAAGTAAAGGAAGAGGAGAAACCATTATTTTAATTATGGATATATTTTTCTCAATACCAGGTTTAAAAGGAGGAGGCGGAGGAGGTGGTGGTGGAGCAGGAGGCGGAGGAGTCATAGAGGAATGCACAGAAGCAGAACTTTCAATAGAAGATGCTGTTGAGAAAGCGAGTGAAGTCTTGCCTGAGGATGTTGTCAGTGGAGTTACAGATGCCAATTGGAAGACCAGATTGGCTGCTGTTGAAACCTTTGGCAATGTAAGTATTTTCTGAAGAGGATATGACTGATTTTTGTATTTAATGCAGGTTATTCTTCCTTTTGTTATTATTATTATTAATCATTATTTATTTATTTATTTATTTTAATACTGTGCCTTTTTTATCCTTTTTAATGTTTAAAATTTGTTGACATAATGAGCCTTCCCTTCAGAAACAAACATTCATCTAATAAGATATTTCTTTTGTACCAGACTATCCAGACACTTGACCGGAGTGAAATCCCATGCCAGGCATTAGTAAGAGTTCTGGCACAAAAACCAGGCTTCAAGGACAACAATTTCCAGGTTCTCAAACTCAGACTAGAAGCTCTCAAAACCCTTGCTGAGAACTCTGACTTTACACGGTAATAACTTCTTGAACTATTTGATTTGTATAATACTCATACTGAATAGCTTTATGGTAGGGGTTGTTGGTATTTTAAATGGATTTCTTTACATCAACTTTTTTTTATATTGTGAAATATTCTATTATTTAATCAATTTCTTTTATTTTGCGATATTAGACGCTCTGGAGAAGTGTGCATCCAAGACCTTGTTGAGAAATTAGGTGATCCAAAGAATGGTTCTTTGTGTGGAGAGGTTCTCATGACCATAGCAGAGGCTGCCAAGCTGCAGTGGGTTGGGCCTGAGGTCATGACCAGAGCCTTTGAACAGAAGAGTCCAAAGATTCAGGAAATGGCACTCAAGTGGTTATCAGATGCCATCACGGACTTCGGATTTGTGTAAGCTGCCATGAAAAAAGCCATTAGATATTTAGAGATGTTTAATGGCATTGTGTTGGAGAGAGGTTTATTTTCTGGTCTGCTATAAAATTTCTGTTAAGTTAGGTGTGAATCATTATGGTATCTTCTAAGTTTATTTAAGTGTATAAATTTTCATTATTACTTTTTCAACATTCCAGACTACAACCAAAAGCTCTTATTGGCGACATTAAGAAAGCCTTAGCACATACCAACCCTGGTGTGAGAACAGCAGGAATCTCCCTGTGTGGTACTATATACCTTTACATGGGAGCTACGCTTAGGGTCTTCTTTGAGGATGAGAAGCCAGCACTTCTGCAGCAGATTGATTCAGAATTTGAGAAGGTAGGTCACAGGACGTAATTCAGATTAGTGTCTGAGAAAGAATGAAAGATGGAAGGAATTGAGCTAATGTATTAACAAGGTAAAATTGATGTGTGTGTATGAGGACTTCACAGAATAGTATTTATAAAGAAGAAGAATTGATGAGAAAGGACTATTAGTAAAGCTTTTAGGAGTATTTATCCCTGATATTTGGGAAGGAGAAATATATATGATTTGTTTTTGGTGCATGTTTACTCACATATATTTGTACAATTTTATTCATTTGACATTTATACTGCAGATGAATGGCACAAGTCCTCCGGCTCCTACGAGAGGCCTTAATCGAGGCAGCAGTACAGAAAATGATGATGATGCTGATGATGTTGATTCGGGTCCAGCTGTCATCAACGTTCAAGATCTTGTACCCCGAACGAATATCAGTGATCAGCTAACATCCTCCCTTTTCACAGATTTATCTGATAAGAATTGGAAGGTGAATATTACTATTTTCTTGCTTTAGAGATTAACTCATTCGCCACTCATGGCAAGAATAGATGCCATGCCCACTTTGATACACATTTATTTATTGTATTTACACATACATGGCTCCACAAGTTCTTAGTCACCAAATAGCCAGTTTATCAGAACTACCTGTTTCACCTGTTTACCCTTTTCCTTCACTTTAGGAAAGGGTTTTTTGTATCATTTCATTGTCTAAAATATTCTAATAACATTTTAATAATCATGACATCAGCAACAATAATAACAGTGTCGATACCAATAGTATTAATTTTCCCGCCAATTCAGTGAATGGGAAAATCAGGGTCGGTAACTAGGGCCTACTGATAGACTCCTTGCTGGCTGAGCACATGTGGAGCCATCTGTAGGTAACAAAATTCACCAAAAACTATAGAGGACAGAACATAAATTTGTAGCGAACGGGTTAAAATGGTTTTAATGTACATTTAATATTGAAAATTCTCCGTGTTTGGTGATATTCAATAATCTTTTCTTATTTCTGTAGGTGAGAAATGAAGCGCTACAGAAGGTTTCCAACATTATCTCAGAGGCCAAATTCATTAAGGGTGACATTAGTGAACTCCCTACTGCTCTGTGTGCTCGAATGATGGACACTAACAAAAATTTAGCTCTGGAGGCACTGAGATTAACTGCATCTCTCTCTGCTGCCCTTGGGCCAAATTGCAAGCCTCATACAAGGAACATTGTGCCAGGAATGTTAGCTGCTCTTGGAGACAGCAAGGTCAGTTAAATTTACCTCCTGGAATGAGTTATGTTTTTGTTTACATGTAGGCACTGCTAATTTAGATTTAAGTATCGACAACATGACACGGTATCAATATAGCTCAGTTTCACTTTTTAATAATTGGATCTCCAAAGTAAGTGATTGGAATTGCCATTTATCTTATGCCTTTCACTGATTTCTTGCTCTCCCACACAGCAAAATATTCGTCAGCAGGCCTTGAGCACTCTTAACTCATGGGTGGAGCAAACAGGCCTGAAAGAAACAGTTGATGGTGAAGTATTTTCTGATGCCTTGAAGTCAGGCTCTCCCTTCCTCAAGTCGGAGTTGTTCTTGTGGATGGCAGAGAAGCTAAAAGATGGTGAGTCCATTAACCCCTTCGGTCTGAGATGTTGGAGAGATACTTTTCAAGATAATGAATTAGATTTTGATTATTATGGAATTTTATTTGCTATTGTTACCTTGATAGTATTCATTGTTCTTTTTGTCTGGGCTTTTGTTATTGTTTTGAATTTTATGGTTATTAATATTGTTATGGTTACTGTTATTTATTACTATTATTGTTGTTGTTATTATTTCTTATTATTTGTATCATCATTATTATTACCATTATTATTGTTGTTAGTATTATTTTATTTATTTAATTATTTTTGTTATTATACCTTCAAACATTTATGAATTAATCTGAGTCATGTATTCCCTTTATGAATGTTCAATAGTACTTACTTGTGTCACATAACTATTGACAATGATATGAAACTACCTTCCTGTTACAGCACCCCCAAAATCTGTCAACAAAGAAGAGTTACACGCATGCACACAGTACCTCTTCATGGCCCTGGAAGATCGTAACGCAGATGTCCGGAAAGGTGCTAATGAGGCTGTTCTGCCATTCATGATACATTTGGGATATGATGGTATGGTGAAACATACCAATAAAGTCAAGGTAAGATTATCTTCTGTTTTGTCTGGATTCCCTTTTGCATCCTGGGTTATTTTCCAATGCTGTGTGCTTTTGAGTATTAATTCATCGGAAGTATTTATGTAGTTTCAAGGAGGTAGTGTATGATTCAGTAGGGATGGCTAAATGAGATTTGTAACTTGTATTTAGAGGTTTTTTTATTTATCTTATTTAATTTTTTACCCCCCAATAATAATACGTATGTGGTAGAGTTTTTCTTTCTTTTTTCTTTTTTTCTTTTTTTTCCCTTTTTCCTTTTTTCTTTTTTTCTTTCTTTCTTTTCTTTTTTCTTTTCTTTTCTTTTCTTTTCTTTTCTTTTCTTTTCTTTTCTTTTCTTTTCTTTTCTTTCTTTCTGTCTTATTTATTGTCACAAATGGTTCAAGAGAGAAAAGAAATTACTGGACTTACCCCACTTTCCCAGCCTTCATCAAAGAACACTGTGATGCAAGCTTTAGAGAAGGCTAAACCCAACCTCCCAGCTAAGCCTCAGCCCAAGCCAAAGGCAGCTGCTGGTGGAGGAACTGGTCGAGGGGCTGCAGGAGCCGTTGCAGAAAGGCCTCAGGCAAGTGCTCCAGCTGCAGGCAGGGGAGCTGCTGCAGGAGTCAAAAAGGGTCTGAGGGCTCCATCAGCAACACGCACTGTAAGTATATATAGTGTTTGGTTTTAATAGTTATTAGGGTGGAATATAGAAGGTTGCTCATTATAATAGCTTACAGCATTTTCCTCCCCACACCTAATCATTATGTAATTGTAATTAATTACTTCACAGTATGAGCGGTATTGGGTATGTATTATACAGTTCTTTAGGTACAGCATGAAATTGTTAAAGAGAAAAGATCCTGTGTTCTTATTGCAGGCCTGGCCGTGAGCATTTTAGCAGGCGAGCGGTGCATCGCTCTCCTCATTAAAGTCAGGCGGGCGATTTTCAATCTATTGAAAATCGTCCATAAAAGTGTACGAATAAACAACAAATGCAACATTGGTATTTAAACAGCTAGGTTTACAAAACAAGATGACAATTCTCCAACAGAAATAAAACGATAGTTTCATATAGTCGCAAATCAACCACATTCTCACAAACAAGGTTTGAACAGAACCAAACTTAAATCAAATAGCGTAATTTTATAACATTAGTACAAACTAAAAGTCATTCGAAAACTGGCATTTTGATGTTCAAGTTCAAGTTCAAGGTGATTAATGTTATTTTGAAGTCAAAACATAAGGGATTAAGTTCCTGTCAATATTTTAGTTTTAATTCAAGAGGTGTCGAGAAATGAAAGGAAAACCAAGTCGGGCGGTTAATGTGCGAACTGACATTGAGGCGAGCGATGAATAGCTCGCCTCGCTAACCCGAGGCCAGGTCTGTTATTGTTGAACTAAATATGCTGGATAATGGATTAAAAGCTAATAAGAAAGTTGGAAATTGCATGACTACTCATATACATGTACAGAAAATGTGATGGTACAAAATCAGGAGTAGATATGAAATTCAATATGATTAATAGATAAATAAATAAAAAAGTCTAACATGCCATACTGTAATTTATATATTCTCATTTCCAAAAATCAATAAGCCATGCCACAAGCCCTCAAATTTCATTTTTGACGTTTCATTGTGCTTGAGAAATTTTTAAAACCAGCATGAAGTGCATCATGTCTGTCTTTTGTTTAGTTGATCCTTAACCTGCACCAAAACACGAGTGGATGAAAACTGATGCACCTGTGTAAGGAAAGAATACTGCATTCAGTTGTTTCTTTTGCCAGTGGAAACTCTTATACAAAATGAAACACGTGTAGTTAGTAATTTTATACAAAAGATAATATTGAAGAATGACCTTTAGAAAGTTGTACGCTTTGAGTAATTTAGGGTTCTTAAATAGCATGAAAAGCTGTAGGAGGACTTTTTGTAGTCATCACTATACTTATACTTTCCCGTTTTTTTGTATTAGTATCCCCCTATAATTTCAAACTTTTTAAAATTTGTACTTGAGAATTCTTAGATGTTAGTCCATTATTGAATATTTATTATAATTTTGTTTTCACTCATGCACTCAATGGTGAAAGTTGAGCTTGTCTTCAGTTGGCTTTCAAGTTTGAGGATAGAAACCTATATGAATATTTATTAATTACTGGCACTGGCAATTGTATGTTGACAAAGAATTATGTTTGACATACATATTATTAGTCTGACCAGGTTTCCTTGTGTACACCTGGAACAACAGTAAACTTACTTATTTATAGCTGGAACTTCCTTTAAAACTGTAGTTATTATTTTGTATTTGAAGTGAAAATCTTTTAATGCATATGGCTAAATAAGAATATGATAAAATATGAAATGTGGTTTGCACACTCTGGTCTTGTTACCATTGTTACTGTGCAAAGGAAATGTATTTTTGATAATGATTAAAGAAATTGTGCAAGCTTATAAGGAATAGTAGATGTAAGTGGTAATGAAATGTTAAAAAGTAGCACACAAGGTTGTAAATGTAGCATGTTATAAAGTCACTTAAAATTACACACATTTTTAGGGTTCTGGATCAAGCCGCAAAGACCAGGAAGAGGTCGACACATCACCACTCCTCCAGGTGAATAACCTAAAGCAGCAACGTGCTTCTGATGAGCAGAGGCTCAGGGTCCTGCGCTGGGACTTCACAACCCCTCGGCAGGAGTTCATCACCCAGTTGAAGGATCAGATGACTGCAGCAGGACTTAACAGACAGCTGATGTCAAACATGTTCCATCAGGATTTCAAATTCCATATCAAGGCTATTGATGCTTTGAATGAGGTATGTATGTTTTTCTTTTTTGTTTTATATGTATTTGTAAATCAGTATTCTAGTTTGGGATGACATATTGTTTTAAAAAGTGCTTTCGTGATTGTTAGAGCAGTGGTTTGATTAGTTATCTAAGGACAGTGGATTTTCCCTGTACTTTACAAATACATGTTCTGCTAGCTGCTTGAGTGAAATAGTAGAAACATAGTAAATATATATTTACTGTACTCTGTATGGTTTTAGCTGTGGCATGTCAATTTTGTAGGAAATGAGTTTAAAAGCAGACTTTGAGCCTGTTTTCAGGGAGTAATAACTACTAATGTTTGTAGTCCACTGCCAAACAAGGAGTGGGCATGGCATGTACAGTGGCATGCCTACTGCGAGTTTATTTTGTTAATTACACATAGATGGCTACACTGTATTAAGCCACCAATGAACCAATTACAGGTGCTGCATGTCTTGCCCTTTTACCCTTTTCCTTAATGTATGAAAATATTTTTCGTTATCTTATTTTGCAGTTACTAATGTTTATGACATTATAGCAATCATAATGTCTATAATAAAGATAACATCATTGATGTTCATAGCATTAGCGAAAATAATGTTTTTCCCACCAATTCAAGGAAAGGTGAAATTAGTTAAGGTCACAAGATCTATTAATTGACTCCTTTGTGCCTAAGCACTAGCAGAGCCATCTATGTGCAAACACATTTCTCGAAAAATAAAAATGAGCACAGTATTTTCCCTGATGGCTTGTGGTTAATGGTTGGTGCATATTTTGTATTTGCACTTTATGGAAGTGGTTGTCTAATTTTGAATATTAACCTACTTGTTGCAATTTTGAGAACTGGTCACTGTAGTTTTTTTGTGAGTTTTCTTGTGCATAGAGGTCTCCACAAGTTCTCAGGAGCCAAGTCAGTCAGTCAGGCACTAGTGGTCTCCCCTGATTTTCCAATTCCTCCTTTCTTTTTCTTTCTTTCTTTCTTTCTTTCTTTTTCCTTTTCTAACACCATTAATATCAGTACTGATAGTATTGTTATTGCCATTATGATTTTTACATTATTAAGACAATAATGAGTAAAAATTGGTGTAATAATTGACTCTTTGGTAGCCAATTACTTGTGGAGCCATCTCATGTAACCACAATTAAAAACCTATAGTACAATGGACATGGTAAGCATATCATGGTATCTGCGACCAATGAGTCAACTTACTCAATCTGGTGTGTAGAGTCTCAGAAAACAGATTAGCTCCACAGTTATGACCAGACAGGGGAACAGCTGTGTAGTACTCAATTTAGATATGACCTTTCATTATGTGATGGGATGTTATACTAATGTAACGGGTGTCTAGTGTAGTGTAATTGGATGTCATCTTGGAGTGAGTTAAATTGTATGGTACACTAGTATGGTTATTGTTATAATGTAAAGATCATTATAAATTCAATAAAAAGAAATTTGAATTTATGGAATATATGTAAACTATAAACCTTTTCTGTGGGTAATCATTTATATTAGGTGGGGTGGCATGATTTCCAGTGTCTTGATAAGGTGGGGGTTAGGTTGGATTTTTACAGTAAGAACAAAAAAATATACATATGTATATTTTCAGTTTTCTGTGTTTATCTCTACTTCAGTTTTTTAAACAGATGGGAATAACCTTTAAAGAAATGATAATTAAGCTTCGATGAATGTTTAATCCAGTGTGGAATCTTAGTTTAAAACCTTTTGAGTTCTGTTTAATTGATTCAATATTTTATACTTCAACCAGGACCTCAACTCAAACCTCCCAGCTTGCATCGCCAATCTGGATTTGGTATTGAAGTGGTTAACTATCCGGTTCTTCGACACTAACCCATCGGTGATCATGAAGGCGATGGATTACCTGCAGCAGGTGTTCCAGTGCGTGTCGGAAGAAGGCTATCACCTCCTTGACCTTGAAGCTTATTCCTTCCTGCCTTTCTTAGTTACCAAGGTTTGTACTTTCTATTAATTTATGCCAGGACATGAAAAAAATTTACATTGTAGGGAGGGAAAGAATAATGCTTTTTTATTTCTTCCTTTCTCCTTAGCCTTGTAGATTGTAATGACATTTTTGTTACAGTTTGGTGACCCTAAGGATGCTATTAGAGGACCTGCAAGAAATATTGCAAAATTGATTTGCAATATATACCCAGCTAGCAAAGTGTCTCCATACATGATGGATGGTCTTAAAGCAAAGAATGCAAGGCAGAGAGCAGGTGAGCAAAGTGAAAGACTGATAATTCTTTTCTGCATTGCTTTTTCTGCTGCACATCTATTATTTCTCATGTTAACCTTGCGGTGTTTAGTGGATATAAAATCAGCTGTCTGAAAGTTGTCTTATTTTGGCTTTCAACTTACAGAATGCTTGGAGGCCATGGGCAACTTGATAGAAGTGTATGGAATGTCAGTGTGTCAACCCTCTCCCGGTGTAGCACTGAAAGAAATTGCCAAACAGATTGCTGATCGAGATAACTCCGTCAGAAATGCTGCTCTCAATGCTCTGGTGCAGGTGTATTTCCGTGAAGGTGAAAAGGTTTTCAAACTTGTTGGAAATGTAAGTTGAATTCTTTGTAAGGGCTGATATTACATGTCTGTGTAGTATTTACATATACTTTAGTATGCTCTGATAACTTGCATGTGTGTGTGTGTGTGTGTGTACATGTGTGTGTGTGTGTGTGTGTGTGTGTGTGTGTGTGTGTGTGTGTGTGTACATGTGTGTATGTGTGTGTGTGTGTACATGTGCGTGTGTGTGTGTGTGTACATGTGTGTGTGTACATGTGTGTATATGTATATGTATGTATATGTTTATATTTATATATATATATATATATATATATATATATATATATATATATATATATATATATATATATATGTATGTATGTATGTATGTATGTATGTATTTGTATGTATGTATGTATGTATTTGTATGTATGTATGTATTTGTATGTATATATGTGTATTTGTACGAATATATATGTATATATGTTTATATATATGTATATGTATTTGTACGTATATATATGTATATGTATATATATATCTGTATATGTATATACACATGTATGTGTTTGTTTATATATATGTGTATGTATATATACATATATGTGCATATATATATCTGTGTGTGTGTGTGTGAGTGAATGATATAATATATATATATTATATAATATTAATGTATGTATATATATACATACACATATGTATACATATATTATATATATAGATAATAGTTGTACATAAAAATATATATATATATATATATATATATATATATATATATATATATATATATATATATATATATATATATATATATTTATAAGTATATATATTTATAAGTATATTAGTATTTATTTGTTTATTTATTCTTTCTTTCTTATCCTAGGTTTTTCTCTTTTTTATTATCATCATTATTATTATTTGCCTTTTTCTTGATAATCTACTAAGAAATAAATAAGGAATTGTTACTTTAACATGCATATTTTATTTATATGTTTATGTATGTATATCTTCCCTCTAGCTGTCAGACAAAGATATGAGCTTACTTGAAGAGCGTATCAAACGTGCTGCCAAGAACAGACCGGTTATTAAGAAGCCACCTGTCGAACCAGAAGTGCCCACTGTCAGAAGTGGTGGCGCGAGTGGCCGAGCTAATCGGGTCATCCCAACGCCAGCTCAGCCCGCGCCAGTGCTCACGAGAGAGAGAGAAGGTGCTGACGGAGCAACGGGAGGAGAACAGAGCAGTCTTCTAAAGAGGTTTGTTTGCTTGCTTGTTTTTTATATATATCTAATACTGGCCACTCCTTTCATCCTTTGATCAAATGTTATGGCTGGATATGAATGGTTTAGATTTTCATATTCAATCCTTAAAGTTGGTGATATAGTGGTAGTGTCCTTAAGGAGGGACAAAAGTTCCTCTTTATATTTTTTTCAATCTACTATTGATATTCTCAAAATTATTGGAACCAATATTAGTGTCCGATGCTTTTCTTTTCTTTCTTTCTTTTATCTATTTGATTGCTTTAAAGATGGTTAGCATTCATTAATGTTATTTGAACAATGATACTGAAGAATGCAGAGGGATCCCAGCTGGAGTCTAGAGTCTGTAGATAGAAGCCAGGAAGATCTAAATTGGTCACCCCATGTGCACCACAAACCACCTCGCTATGCATCAGCTGCAGCAATGAGTAGTATAAGCAGCCTCAGTAGCATGAGCAATATAAGTATGGGCAGCATAAATAACTCTGGTTCCAATATGATGGTCAACAAGCGTCCAAACAAGCCTACGAGTAGCCGGCTGAATGGAGATTGGCCACTGCCTCCCTTGCGAACAAGACCAGTTAGCACGGTGACACTGGAACATGCAAGACGCATATCCCGTTCACTCTCCTTTGTTCTGGGTGAACCTGATGAAGACAATCAGATGGAAGAGAAATCCTCTACACGCAAGGGAGCCTCTCATACACTGCCTCCTCTTTCACCTGACATGCCTCCTCTTCTCACCAGAACTGTCACTTCACCTCACTTCTCTGGGCAAGCACAGAGTGGATTTCTGATTTGGGCTTTTCATCTCCCTCACTCCCTTTTAAAAGCTAACACTTTTGTTTTCATTAATTGTGTGGTTGACCATTATATCCTTTTTATTGGATTGCCATAATGAATGCAGTGTTATAAAACATAGTATTTTACATTTTTTGTGAACAGCAGTAAAGCCCTAAAAATACACTGGGTTACTTGGTAGTTTAAGATGCCGAGTGGCATGATTTTATTTTATTTTTGATATAGACTGATTAGTAATTGTAAATTGGGATAAGTTTTTCTATGAAAATTTTACATGTGAGACTGTGATAACATGTTAAAGAACTCTAAGTGAATATTATAAACTCAAAAAAAGGCAACTAAATAATGTTATGATTAAAAATTATGTTGAGATAATTACATGTGATTGTTATGAATGTGTGAAGTCTGTGTGAATTTTTTGGGTGACCAATCCAGTATGGAAATAAAAGAAGTCAGTTTTTTTACATCTAGGTGGAATGACTTTAACCTGATGCTGACGGGCCAGGAGTATTAGCATCATAACAAACCTCTTGGTCTGTGGGGTACATCTATATGAGCGGCGATGTGCCAGAGTGCTTTGAGTGGGATTTTTTGTTTGATGTAGTAGACACTCATACCCAATGTCTGGCTGTTGCCAGAAATCTCCAGAGTTCAAAATTTTCATGGATTTTTTTTCACATGTCAGTGTTGGGTTAAAATACTTGAGAAAATGATAATGTATGTTATTCTGAGCTTTTGCTCATAGAAAGTCATTACACTTTTTTTTTCTTCTTTTCTTTTTTATAGATCAACAATAACCTGAAAAATATGTTTAGAGATGCAAAAAAGATTGAAAATCTTTTTTCTTTTCACTACTTTATTTTGCCATTTGTTTCCATTCTTAACATATGATGTTTTGTATCAAGCCTTTATTTCTGAGATATTTCTCACAGTGGATATAGCAAAGAGTTCTTTGTTCACAGAGGAAATGATAAAAGATAGGATGGTATTTTACTGTATCTTGTCTAGATAGGGAAAATGTATTGTAGCAGATGTGATGGTGGATGTATGATCAGTATTGATAGATAAAGGCTTTATGATTGTATGATTTTACAGATCAGATTAAGCACATGGAGAGAGCTCATGGTATGCTCGTGATAAATAGTCTGTAAAATTATAACTTGTTTAGCTGTTTAACCCATTACTTCTGGGTCACATGTATAGCTGTCATAACAAACTGCTAGATCTGCTGGAAATAGCTATATGTGTGGCGACATGCTAGAGCGTGTCAAGCAGGATGTTCTGCTACATGTAGCAGACTTTTGCTCCCAGCGGCAGGACGGTCGCCAGAATTCACAAGAGTCTGACGCTTAGAGATTTCTAATACCATCACTGATGGATTAAGGCATAATTAGATATTCTTTGTTTCAATACTAACAGTGTGATGTGAGAGCCATAGTTGGGTAGATTTATTTCCTTATAGGATGATATTGTGTTTAGAATATTACTTTTCTTGTCTTTACTGTAATCTTTTATGAATTTCCAATCACAGAAGATAATACATTGGTACTGAGAACTGATAAAATTTTAGATTAGTGAAAGTGTGCCCTCAATCATTTCTTGTGAATGACAAAATACTCTCTATCAGCAGGTTTGGAATGCGAAACCAGCAGCAGCAGTCAAGTGCAAATGCAAATGCACCATTCAAGATTGATTATGGTCTCATAGAAAAACTGCTTGAGGACAATGATACCACAGAAAGACCCCAGTACAAGATTGAGGAAATCCCTGACATGAACTCATTACTCAACTACAAACCAGTGTGCCCAACTCCAGCGTCCAGGTAGGGATTCGGCAGTCATTCAGGAGTTTAGCAGTTTCATTAAAATTTTAATGGGAAGGGAGGGAGAAGCTTATTTTCATGTAGATCAATGTGTATTTGTTCTTCTACATGTCTCTAGAGGATGTAATTTGTTATCAGTTTACTTATGGATTTGATCATTGTCATCTAAGGCACACATTGTAAATTTGAAGTAATTTATTTATCTCAATAAAATCAGCAATTTGTGAATGTGGATATAAGCTAATGATTTACTTTTCTCTTTATTTTTGGGGGAAATCTTTTAACCTAATTACGTCATGAGAAAAAAAAAATTATGTGAGTGGATTGGTTTGCCATTATTATGATATTGGTCACCGTAATTGTTACTAATGATATTACTATTCTTCTAGACTCACCAGACCAGGATTCACTGCGACCTCACGGCCAGTGTCTTCAGGAGCACAGATTGACACTGAAGGTGCTGCTCAAGCAATTAATCTGGTTATATCACAGGTATGGCTTTGGTGTTAATCATGGATTTAGCTTTTATTTTCTTTAGAAGATGAAAATTCTGTTGATGGATCTGTTAATGCTTCTTCATCTTTTTATCATTTGTGATCTAATCACTTGTTTGTGTATATGTATGTATGTATTTATGTGCACACACGCACGCATGCGCGCGTGTGTGTGTACATATATGTATATACATATAAAATCAGTAATACTTAGAAAAGGCTAATGCATGTTACATATTCATTCCAAAAGATTTTGATGAAATTTTATTTTAAGCCACCTTTCAACTGTGTCTATTTGCAATAACAGGTTGCCACCCCAGATGCCAATACTGTCATCACAGCCCTGTCTCAATTGGATGAGGTCCTACAGTCGGAGGAGAGAAGTACCCAGCTGGCTCCACACATTGACCAGCTGCTGATACTGGCCACTCTCCAGTACCGTCTTGTCCTAAACACTAAAATGGCTAACCCCAATGTGAACAAAGAGGAGTGCATCAAAATATACCGCTCCTTAACTAACTGTTTGATGATGGTAGGGAACTTGTGTTAATCTTATATGGATAAATGGTTTTGGAACTGGTGCCATTTATTTAATCTAATTGTTGGAATTCTTTTGATGACATGTACTTTGTTTGACAGATCTTCAATAACAAGCAACTGGGAACCCAAGCTACACGAGATGTTCTCCGGGATGTGGTTCATGTGTTGATTAACATCTTGTTAGATCCTCGTCTAGCACAGCTGGAGGATGGTCCACAAATCATTCGAGCAATCAACGTACTCGTTGTTCGCATTGTGGAAAAAGCACAATTTACTCATGTATTTAGGTCAGTATAGTATAGTACAAAAAATTTTGAGCATTTTTATTTTTGATCAGTTATACATAGAAGTATGTGAAAAGCTAGACAACTTATTTTCTAGTTATTTTGATATGGTTTGCTTTGCCAGTGCCCTTCTCAAGCTTCTACATGAGAGTGTGGGAAGTGGAGGAGGATGCAAGTTCACAGAACTCGTGATGAAGTGCAACTGGAAGGTTATTCGCATTCTACCAACACGCTCTAATGACCTAGATCTTGACCAGATTCTCCTGGATGTTCACAATTTCCTTGTGGTGAGTATTATTTATGATATTAAAGCTCAAATTGGTAAAGAGATCAAATATTTCTATATCATTTATGTGCTAATATTCATAGTATATTAATTTCAAAACAGCATAAAAAGAAAAATGAGAGATTTCTGAGATGTGCTTGGATTAATCTTATTTTAGTTTACACGTGATATGCTAAATAACAATTTTTTTTCCCCATTAGGCTTATCCAGTCAACACGTGGGCAGAGCGACCATCAGATACTCCTTTGCGAACCATTAAGACTGTCATTCATACTTTATGTAAGGTATATGGCACGAACATTCTCAGTCACTTCTCCAAGATTGAAAATGCTCAAGGCTCGGAACTCCACAAGTACCTTACGAAGACACTGAAGGTAAGGACATTTTTGTAATGATTAATTCATTTGCTGTTTCATTTAAGTTTAGTTAAGGATAATGGCATCATATAGGTCTGGCTATGTTTTAATACTTTCTCATTTGGTAAATTCAAATTTGTTCTGCCTCTGCTTTTGTTTCTTCTGCTTCAGAGTATTTCATTCTGGCTTCCTGCTTCCTTTCCCTTCTTCAGCCAATGATTCCTATTAAAAAGTATTGAACTTTCTCTCTTTGTAATATCTGTCCTCTTTGTCCTCTGACCCAGAAACCGAAGACGGATGATGATGGAGGTGTTGGAGACAGTAACAGACTAGCAGCTGCTCAAGTCACAAGTGATTCAGCAGAAAGTGTAAAATCCCCAAAGAGATTAAGCAAAACAGCGCACAACACCCTGTCAGAGATTTTCCGCAAAATTGGCTCAAAAGAGAACACAAAAGAAGTAGGTATCTGCATCTTTGTTATGTATTCTTTACAACTGATCACTGTTATATCCCCATTCTTTCTTTCTCATTGAAAGAATTCAACATCGAAAGCCATGATGTATTAGTTATCGTAAATAGTTTAAGTGTAAAGCCTACTGGATTTATATTTAGTAATATCAATTTTACTGATTTTCTTTCATAGAAATACAGATTCATTTTGCTTTGTAATTGTTTATTAATTTTATTTTATTCATTTATTTTTACCATTATTTATTTACTTATTTATTTATTTATTTATTTTATTATTTTCCTTCAGGGCTTGATTCAGTTGTATGAATTCAAGCAGAAGCATCCTGAGGCAGACATCGAGCCCTTCTTGCGTAAATCATCACAGTTCTTCCAGAACTACATAGAAAGAGGATTGAAGAGAGTGGAGATGGAGCGGCAAGCAGAAGGAAAAGTGGCTGCCAGTCAGGCTACAGAAAATGGGTCAAATTCAGGTAGCATATTAATGACTGTTGGATTATGATTCTGAAAAATGTGATACTTCATTTACACCTTTCATAATATTGGGAATTATTCCTTCATCTCTTACAATGCTTTTTTTTTTTGTATGGTTATGGCTTTGTCCTACTCTACAGAGTCTAAAGTTTGTGAAGAATTTCATATGATTTGATTGGTGCTGCTTAATGAACAAAATGATGTGAAAGAATGGGTCTCTGTGCTTACAATATTGTCCCCCTTAAACCCAGAACAAATATCAACATTACATTCTGTGTTTAAAATCTTTAAATAGATTTGCTTTATTCAGGATTTATATGTAAATTTGTAATACTAAAGAGTATATGCCTTATGAAGAAAATTTTGTATTTGGAATTATCACATTTTTAGACCTTTAAAAATCCCTGTAGCATTAGTAAATTTGTTTTCCTTGTTTTAGAGTTTTAATGTGCATGCTTAATACCCCCCTACCCTACCACAAATGGGATTAGTTCCATTGTAATAGCTTTGAAACTCTTCCTTTTTTATTAGTGCTCCTTTTTATCCCACTCTTGAATTTTTGCCATGATAATTTTGGTAATACTACCTATTTTCCCTTAGCAGGACCCTTGGCTTCCATCCAAGTCCCCGACACAGCTAACTTCAACATGAATGAACTTGTAGCACAGTTCAAGTCTATTGCTGCCCGTGCCGGCTTCGACAATACCTATATTGACAGTGCGGTCAAGGATATATGCAGCGCTGAAAATAAGGGCTCAAGTGAACGACTTGACATCTCGGAATATATCAAGACATTGTCATCTGACTATGGAATAGAACAGAACAAGGAACAGTTCAGTTCACATGATCAGTGAGCAGTTGGTGTCTTTTAGTTCTAGCACAAAAAAAAAAAAAAAAAAAAAAAAAAAAAAAAGGAACTGTTGGAAAATGACGACTTTTTGATTACCTTCCACCTTTTTTAAATTTTATACCATCTCTCTGTTTTTGTTTTTATTTTTTGTTTCCTAATTTATTTATTTATTATTATTATTATTATTATTATTATTATTATTATTATTATTATTATTATCATCATCATTACTCATATCAACAGCTTACACTTTAATTCTTGTTATGAAGTGGTTTAGAAAGATTTGCTGAACCCTGATGAGTGACTGTGACGCTGTTAGGTTAAGGCCCAGTAAATCTATTGACAGGATAAGGATTTTTACATGAACAATTGCGAGAGATGGAGTATAATGCCTTCTTTTTACTGTGTATTTACTTTTAAAATGAGGAACGTATCACTTCTTAATTCATGGTGCATATATTACAAAAGTTATCTGCAGACACTCAAATGCATGTAGTTTAATTCCTTGGGACTGCATGTTTTCATTCCATCTCGTACTTGTTCATGCTATGTTCAAGGTATTTATGGCTAGCTGTTCTAAGACATGGAAATTTTTCTTGTGTAACAATAAGTTTTGAGGTAAAAGAGGATCCACAGAGATGGTTTATTCTCCCAAAGAATCTTTATACATACACATATGCAGTATATCTGTGGCTGCTTTAGTTGGTAATCTGATCTAGGAACCCAGTGATTAATTATATTCTTATCGTTAGGTTGGTTAAAAACTATATATATGATTATATCTTCCATATTAATCTGTCTTATTCACAAAACACTTGCACAGCCTTTATGTGACTCTAGAAAATCAATTATTGAATTACCACAGCTGCGCATGTAAGTGGTATATTCAGACATGAATTCTTCCATATATATAAATATATACATATATGTCAGATACTCAACTCCTCAATATTAGAAAGATCTGTGATCTCATGAACTGAGTCAGAACATTGAATCTACACAATTGCAGATTTGCAGTATTTACGCACTTCAGTCCCTTTCTTTTCCATCTGATATTTTGATGGTGTAATACTTGTTTTCTTCAGTACATCTCTGTCAGCTATGCTTTTTTCTTAATTATTTTATGAAAATTTTCAGATCATTCCATTATTACTGAAATGTTTTACTGTGTTGTATTTGAAAAAGAAAAAAAAGGAGCTTTGGAAGTGAAACACGAGGTCCTTGCATTAGTAATCATCAAGTAGCTGCATTTTTGCAGGAAATTTCATCCATGTTCAGATTCTCCTGAACAAGTCTACAGCCTTCCCATTACTGTTTACTTTTTATTCTGAATTTTTAGTTTTATTTTCTCATACAACATTTACCTTGACCTCAATGGAAGCTTTCGTATCACATGTAATTTTCTTTTACATATCTTAACTTTATTTTAATAAAATATAGAGCAAATTTTGTAAATATTCAATTTTTAGTTACTTATTAACTTATCAGTCTATGCTAGGATTTATTGTGGATAGCTAATAGTCAATAAAGGTTAGATAAAAAGTTAATGAAGTTTGGTTAATATCCTGGTCAAAATGTATACAACTAATCATATATATATCTATAAACTTTATTGAACTGACTTAAGGTTATTAAATACAAATGTTAAATGTCTCTTCCTTTAAGAAGTTAAAACTTGATGGTCCTTGAGCCCAAACCACAAGAATATATAGAATAATTAAAAACAAATATTGGAAATTAAATCCTTCCGGTGTTGGTGGTGTGGCCAGGGTAATGGCTTTCATTGCAGGGGACATCAGGGTTGACTTCTCCAAATGCGGGAATTCCTCCACATAAAGACGAGATGCTAGGAGGGACTTCCAGGGGGGAGGAGCTCATCACTGTGGATGGCTACATGCCTGCTGTCGTTATCTGTACTGGCCCAAGGTAAAATATAAATTTATTCAAAATATATTAAAAAGAGACTACATAAAATGTCCAAATACAAAATTATATAATACAGTAACAAATTTGGTATATTCAAATACAATATTACATGAAGGTAATTTATTTTCATTTAAAAGGATATAAAAGTAACAGAAAATAGAAAGAGAGAGATAATTAGAAGAATGAAAATGACTTTCTGACTTTCTGATTTTTTATATCTAAACAAAAGAATAGGCTTACCAAACTGCATGTGGTAAATTGAGTGTGGGTTTCTTTGCCGAGGCCATCAGGGGTGAATTCATGAAGACGAGATGCTAGGAGGGACTTCCAGGGGAGTGCTCCTCATCACTGTAGATGGCTACATGCCTGCTGTCGTTATCTGTACTGGCCCAAGGTAAAATATAAATTTATTCAAAATATATTAAAAAGAGACTACATAAAATGTCCAAATACAAAATTATATAATACAGTAACAAATTTGGTATATTCAAATACAATATTACATGAAGGTAATTTATTTTCATTTGAAAGGATATAAAAGTAATAGGAGAGAGAGAGAGAGAGAGAGAGAGAGAGAGAGAGAGAGAGAGAGAGAGAGAGAGAGAGAGAGAGAGAGAGAGAGAGAGAGAGAGAGAGAGAGAGAGAGATGGCCCCATGACATATCCCTTCTTAACCCATTGCTGCCAGGGGTGGCATGTATGTACATGCCTTGCCCACTGTGAGTCGACTTGTTTGATTGTTTTTACACATAGATGGCTACACTTGTACTACGTCACCAGTGAGCCAATTACGAGGACTGCCTGTCTCGCCCGTTCACCCTTTTCATCAATTTACTAAAATATTTAACGTTATCCCAACTTGCTGTTAAAAATAACATCTATATTTATATAACCATCTATATTTATAGCAATAATAAGAATACGTTTTTTCCCGCCTATTCACGGATAGGTGAAATCAGGACTAGCAGAGCCATCTATGTACAGAGATATTTCACAAAAATATAAAAAATGAGTGCAGCATTTTCCCCATTTTTTGTTCATTTTCCCCGGCGGCAATGGGTTAATATTTAGAAGAATGAAAATGACTTTCTGACTTTCTGATTTTTTACATCTAAACAAAAGAATAGGCTTACCAAACTGCATGTGGTAAATTGAGTGTGGGTTTCTTTGCCGAGGCCATCAGGGGTGAATTCTCCAGGTGTGGGAATTCCTCCACCTCATGAAGACGAGATGCTAGGAGGGACTTCCAGGGGAGTGCTCCTCATCACTGTAGATGGCTACATGCCTGCTGTTATCTGTACTGGCCCAAGGTAAAATTTATTCAAAAGATTTGAAAGGATATAAAAGTGACAGAAGAGTAAGAGAGAGAGAGAGAGAGAGAGAGAGAGAGAGAGAGAGAGAGAGAAATGAAAACAACAAAGGCTTAAACAAATAATTACAGACAAAATTTCTGAATCCACAACTGAATACAAGTTTACTTTATTCAAGCAAAGAGGAATAATCTCAACACAGGTTTATATTCTATTTAAAAATACTTCTTATTCTACATGTACAGAGAAAAAAGAAAGAAATCTTACTTTTAAATTTAATATTCCATTGATAACCAGTTGCATCGGCAGTCACCTTGGCCTTCTTTTATCTGAATATATTGGGCCTTGACCAAGACTCTGAATATATATTGAACTTATTCATCTATTTACGTGTGTGTGTGTGTGTGTGTGTGTGTGTGTGTGTGTGTGTGTGTGGTG